CCAGAAGGTTGTGGGTTCAATTCCCACCTCTGCACCTTCTCCACCGACTCCCACTGATGACTGCTGTCGTTGTGTCCTTGGGCAAGACACTTAACCCCACTTTGCCATAAGCCCCCACTGAAAGATCAAGGCTATGCTCACACTCAGAGAGCAGCCGTCCTCCTGTGGACTCACCACCTGCAGAGGGTCAGTGAGGGGCTGGTGCTATGAGACTTGGGGTGGCATCTCTGACTGCCACCCCCCTGACCCAGAAATGGATTAAAGGGTAGAAAATGGATGGATGGATGGATGGAGTTTCCAAGTGTGCTCTCAGTTCACTTTATATTAAAAATAATGACAAGATTAAGATTAAAATGTATCGTTTAGCCAGTTTTTGTGCGAAATAAAATTTCGGGTTTTTTTGATGTGGACCCCTCAAAAAAACCCTTGCCACCCTCTGTTTAAGAGTCTGGCTCCGCCACTGCCCGTGACCCGGACGGTCCGGGACACATGTCTTCCGTTTGTGCATACGTCGCGCCTCCTCCTCACCTCCAGAGCAACAGCAGCAGCAGCAGCACGTGACCCGTTCCGTTCTCTGCAGTGATTGGCTGTCTTCTTCAGCGCCAAACTGAAGCACTGAGCGACTGTTTAATTTTTAAAAGTTAGCCAGCGTGAAGCAAGTGGTTTTTTCCGTTCCCTGAGCGTTGTAGCACGTGAGTAATCAGAGGAAAGTACTGTAGATCTATTACCATTCAAAGTACTTACGTTATTTCTAATCTGTCAGCGCACTGTTTAATGTTCCGAGGAGCTCACACGGCACAGAGACAGAACAGAACTGGCTCCAATAAAGAAACAGGTTGGTTGAAAGGCTGAAAAAATACTTATTGTGCTCTTACTATCCAAAATGTATAAGTGGGTGTGTTGTGTGAATCAGGATAAACTAGGGATGAAAATATTCCACGGATCCACGATTTACAACCTTTATCTGCTGATAATGTAATTTCTGTGAAATGTGTGACAGCGGGCACTTGCTGTTATTTGCTCTAAGCACATTCAAGCGATGCACTCGAATGTGCACGTCCTGCTGCAGCTGCTGCCGCTTTGTAATGACAGCCGCGGCGCTCAGTGAAAGCACAGCTCTAACATGGTACCGAGCTCGGACCATATGCAGACAGAACCATGTTGCAAGTGCGGGTCTCCCTCGTATCTCCCCCGTTTCTCCCCTGTGTCTCTGACATGTCTCTCCCCTGACTCTTCCCAAAGCGCAACCAGCGCTTCCGAAATTAAAGCTCGGATACCTAAATTTTCCATTGCGTTAACGATGCATGCTGGTTGTGCGCAAAACACACCACAACAGGTCGTTTAAGTTTTTATTTTGCATACTTGAGAGCCCTGTGAGTCATTAGTTGCCTTTTTGGGTTGAGAGTGGAATTAAAAAAAAGAAAATATAGAAAAATCCACACTGTTACTTATTGCCAAACTCTTGTTAACTCATTGTATTGAGAAATACTATGTAACTTTTGACATTGGCCAAGTTATATAAATGATTCTGCAGTTCATGTATATGAATGTCTGTTTTTGATTGTCTATACCTTCTTATATAATTTAGAAAAAATGCCACCTCCACAAAAAAAGATAAAAGATATCAGGAGCTTTTTTAACAGTTGGAAAGTAAGTAAGAGAAAGCACAAGTAATAGCAAATTATGAATTGTGATGATTAATCTTCTGTTAACATACATAGGAAACTCAACCAACAAGAGAGAACAATATAGGGAATGTTGAGGTAGAAACAACAGGCCCTTCAGTGCATCAGGCGAGGTTGGAATTTTGTAGGTATGCATGGGACTATGAATTGTTTTTAGAGATTGATCGTATATGTCAAACAATGTAGTGAGCTACTCACTGTAGATTCTAATTCAATATTTTCTCCTCTGTTTTTATTTATTATAGGAAATTGAAAGATCAGAGCATGATTTATTTCAAGTATCGAGAGCAGTTCCTGAACTGTTAGAGCCTCAGGTGAGGGCTATTATGTAGATTTGGATTAGGTTTAAGTCAGTATAGAATGAACGCAACACAAAACTCAGAAGCTCTGATCCAATTGATTTTGTGTTAACTATTAGAAAAAATCCTTAACTGCTTCTCATTCAGTCTACAGCTGAGTTTAGTATAGAAGGCAACATACTATTGCAAATATAGTGTGTGATCACACAACAAATTCTGGGGGAGAAACTCTGGACCCCGTGTCAATGGGTGTAGACTCAGGTCGTAGTGAATGTCCCCACCAAGATTGGAACCAAACCTACACCATTGCTGGTAACTAGTTACTTTTATAGTGGAGTAACTCCGTTAGTAACTCAGTTACTTTTTGGGAGAAGTAACTAGTAACTATAACGAATTACTTTTTCAAAGTAACGTGCCCAACACTGGCCAAAACTAACAGGGTTACAGAAGCATTTACAGCATTTACAGCTAGCTAAGAAACATAGCCACTACTATGTGCTCTTACTACTGTCCTGTCTGTGCGCTGCAACTTTGACATTTCCCCACTGTGGGACGAAAAAAAGGATCTCTTATCACATAATTCCTAGTTATTTTATTTCTAGACTTTTTTTTCCCCCCCAGACATTTGGCAGTGGTAACTTGAAGCGCGTGTGATTCTTCAGAGAGGAGTCCTCATCTTGTTACTGGCCTGTTTCCCCTGTTGGGCTGTTCTGGTCAACACAGAGCCCCTGCTGCGCTCCGTGCGGCAGAGTCGTTATGTCAGCCCCTGTTCACAAGACTTATTACTCATTACACATTGCACAAGAGTGGTAAAAATGTTACTTATGATGTTTGAAGGTCTACAGGAAAACTGGAAGTATACAGTAGCTCAGACAATTAATCATTTATACTACTCCAGGCATTTGTTTTCATTTGTTAAGCATTCAAGAACTCTTCCCCCTCTTGTAATTATACAACCACAAACACGATATACTACAAGATTATTTTTAGAGCAAGTGTGTAAGTATTCAAAATCATACATTCTTTGTATTTTTTGTATAAATTACTGTGATTAAATGTGACATGTAACAGTGTTCTATTTGTATTTATTTCACACAATGTCATTTCATTGTTATGAACGGTAGGAAATACACGTCACAACGATAGTAACGATAGTCACGATGAAACACAGTCACTCACAAGGTTTGGCAATGTTGGACACCAGCCGGTCCACCTCCCTCCTTATAGGCGGACTCATCGTTGTTGGAGATGAGTCCAATGAGGGTGGTGTCGTCCGCGAACTTGATGAGCTTCACAGAGTCGTGCTGGAGGTGCAGTGGTTGGTGTACAGGGAGAAGAGCAGGGGAGAAAGAACACAGCCCTGTGGGGCTCCTGTATTTATAATCCGAGAGTCTGAGACATTCTTCCCCAGACGTATTATCATTCATGACTGAATGAATAAAAAAAATATTCCTAAAGAGTGATTATTTTTTATCATGAATTGGAATTCTCATTATCTGAAGTTTAACTATTATATATTTCTGAGTCTAATAATAGAATGTGGATGTTTTTTACCCTCTCATTGCCTGAATCTATTTTGTGTTCACTATTGCTGATTGCAGCCATGTTAAACTTTGGGGCACTCAACTTCAAGCCACAAAAAATCCTTAGTTCCTGGTTTTGAGACAGTTTGGGTCCTCGGGCTGGAACTCTGTGAATTAGGTGGCAGCTGAATACCACCCCCCAACCCAGAAATGGACAAGGTGAAGAAAATGGATGGATGGATGGTTTTATCAAGAGTTTTCTGGTGTAAAGTATTTTTGGCCTTTGTCACATTTTTAGATCATATTTTTTACCTTACTTACTTCACAGTCTCAGCCCTTTCCCTTCATGGTGTTTGTTGACTGTATCCATTCATACTTTTTTTATACTAGAGATATGTTTTTTATTTATTCCACAACCTAGTATTGTATGACCTATAGTATTGTTGCAAACCTGCATTCAAGTTTTATTTTTATTTTTGGGCACAAGACACATGCATCTATAAAGTCTTTCATTCCTTACGCTACCGTATGTTTTAAAACTGGTTCACCCTCTTTTTTACTTTAAACAGTCTCCAGTTAGATATGGAGGTGCTCTCGGTGTAGATGGACAGGAGACAGAGGAGACATTCACCACCACAAACACAGTGGTGTTAAACACAGAGACATGTTTTTGTGTAGAAATATAGAAAAACATGTATTGTTGTATTGTAGTTAACTCATTCACTGCACATGTTTTCTTGCTCAGACCAGGTGTTATGGGTGAAAGTATGCTATGTTCTATGGCAGATTGTGCAAGAACGGTAAAAGGTAGAAACAAACCGTTTTTTTTTTTTTCAGAGCAAAGCAGAGAGATTAACCTTTAATTTGGTGCCCTTGGTGTTGACATACTCTAAAAATGACTATTCTGTGGCTCTTCAAAGTTGGGTCAAATCCCCTGAAAACGCTGGCAGAACGCACTTCTCAAATCTGAAAATGCCTGGCAGTCAGTGAGTTAATTATTATCATTTTTTGTGTATGATTATGAATTATTAGTTATGTTTCAAACTTAGAAGAAATAAAACGTGTCGCTAAATGTCCCAGATAATCACTATCCGATTTCATCCTGCATCGGAGATAATATGGTCGTATTATAGAGACACAGTGCTGGGCCCAGGCTCCGGACAGCAAAAATGGCGGCCTATTCAAATGTCCTGTGTATATAATAATAGATCCATGACAGTAGCGCATAACTATACACACGCATCGCACGGGCATTCCCCGAACATGAACGGGGACAGTGGCTGTTTTGCAACCAGAGCAGCTGCCGCAGAGATGGGCCATGTGCGCAGTGACGCCTGAGAGCGCCGCTGAGAGAGAGCGCCGCTGTGATTGGTTCACGCGCACGGCCGGCACGTGCGTGATCCCGCCCCTTTAGGACGTTATTGTGAATCTGAGGCGCGTGGGGTCGTATTCCAACTCGCCTCATGGTAGCAGTAGCCGGTCCTGTAAACACCATGAACTACACGTCCAAAAGCTCCGTGGCGACAGAAGACGACTATGAGCGGCCGGTTGAAGAGGAAGAAGACCAAGGGTCGTGTCTGAAACGTGGAAAGAATCTTATCCCTGCTGTATACAGGACTGAGTTTGTGGAGCTGTTCAAGCTGGCAGGACCAGTGGTGAGTGAGCAGATGTTTAAACGGTCTGTGTAAGTGACATCACAGATACATACTATCTAACTTTATTCATGATTCATTTATAATGAAAATGAGACTTCGAGATGATTTCTTATCTTATTAGAAAATATTGTATATTTTACTACTCTCTTTTTAAGTCAAAGACGGAGCTAACTGAGTGAGGGTGGTCAAAAACTACATGAATCTGAAATCTTATGATAGAATCTGTTCTAGTGAGAAGTTGGATAATATTTATACATACAGTAGTTCCATGTTTTGTGGCTTGAAACTTGGGCACCCCAGTTTAACATTATAAGGATAGAGGGGGTTAATCAAACTGTACATAAATTCATCTTAATGTTTAGAGATCCTTCCCAGAATGGGGAAAAAGTCAGCATTGTATCACAATGAGGAACACGCATCACAAGATTCGTAAAGATTAAGTGCAGCACAACTAAAATAATATCTTCATCTAATGTTAATAAAGAACACAAATTTAGAATAGTGTATACTCTAGTTCAAGAAACATATACTTGTACGTGTACATTTGTAGATAAATCTGTTATACATTCTATTACAAGAGTACGGAGGTAGTAAGTCATTAGCTTTGAGGGTTCAAATATTCAGTGATGAATGAGTGATACTACTGTACTGTATGTTAGCAGCATGTGATACTACTGAACATGTTAGCAGCATGTGATACTACTGCACATGTTAGAAGCATGTGATACTACTGTACATGTTAGCAGCATGTGATACTACTGAACATGTTAGCAGCATGTGATACTACTGCACATGTTAGCAGCATGTGATACTACTGTACATGTTAGCAGCAAGTGATACTACTGTACATGTTAGCAGCAAGTGATACTACTGTACATTTTAGCAGCAAGTGATACTACTGTACATGTTAGAAGCATGTGATACTACTGTACATGTTAGCAGCATGTGATACTACTGTACATGTTAGCAGCAAGTGATACTACTGTACATGGTAGCAGCAAGTGATACTACTGCACATGTTAGAAGCATGTGATACTACTGCACATGTTAGAAGCATGTGATACTACTGTTCATGTTAGAAGCATGTGATACTACTGCACATGTTAGCAGCATGTGATACTACTGTACATGTTGTAACTACTGCACATGTTAGCAGCAAGTGATCCTACTGCACATGTTAGAAGCATGTGATACTACTGTACATGTTAGCAGCAAGTGATACTACTGCACATATTAGCAGCAAGTGATACTACTGCACATATTAGAAGCATGTGATACTACTGCACATGTTAGCAGCAAGTGATACTACTGCACATGTTAGCAGCAAGTGATACTACTGCAAATGTTAGAAGCATGTGATACTACTGCACATGTTAGCAGCATGTGATACTACTGTACATGCTAGAAGCATGTGATACTACTGTACATGTTAGAAGCATGTGATACTACTGTACATGTTAGCAGCAAGTGATACTACTGCACATGTTAGCAGCATGTGATACTACTGCACATGTTAGCAGCAAGTGATACTACTGCACATGTAAGATGCATGTGATACTACTGTACATGTTAGAAGCATGTGATACTACTGCACATGTTAGCAGCAAGTGATATTATTGCACATGTTAGCAGCAAGTGATACTACTGTACATGTTAGAAGCATGTGATACTACTGCACATGTTAGCAGCAAGTGATACTACTGTACATGTTAGAAGCATGTGATACTATTGTACATGTTAGAAGCATGTGATACTACTGTACATGTTAGAAGCATGTGATACTACTGTACATGTTAGCAGCAAGTGATACTACTGTACATGTTAGAAGCATGTGATACTACTGTACATGTTGGCAGCAAGTGATACTACTGCACATGTTAGCAGCAAGTGATACTACTGTACATGTTAGCAGCAAGTGATACTACTGCACATGTTAGCAGCATGTGATACTACTGCACATGTTAGCAGCATGTGATACTACTGCACATGTTAGAAGCATGTGATACTACTGTACATGTTAGCAGCATGTGATACTACTGTACATGTTAGCAGCATATGATACTACTGTACATGTTAGCAGCAAGTGATACTACTGCACATGTTAGAAGCATGTGATACTACTGTACATGTTAGCAGCATATGATACTACTGTACATGTTTGCGGCAAGTGATACTACTGCACATGTTAGCAGCAAGTGATACTACTGTACATGTTAGAAGCATGTGATACTACTGTACATGTAAGAAGCATGTGATACTACTGTACATGTTAGCAGCAAGTGATACTACTGTACATGTTAGAAGCATGTGATATTACTGCACATGTTAGCAGCAAGTGATTCTACTGTACATGTTAGAAGCATGTGATACTACTGCACATGTTAGCAGCAAGTGATACTACTGCACATGTTAGCAGCAAGTGATACTACTGCACATGTTAGCAGCAAGTGATTCTACTGCACATGTTAGCAGCATGTGATACTAGGCAAGGCAAGGCAAGTTTATTTATATAGCACAATTCATACACAAGGCAATTCAAAGTGCTGAACAAAACAAGAAAGCATTAAAATCATAAATAATCACAGAACATTAAAAAGAAAGATACAAATATAAAATCCCTCAGTTGTATGCACAGCTAAACAGAACTGTCTTTAACCTGGCTTTAAACATTGTCAGAGAGGAGGCCTGTCTCACATCTCCAGGAAGACTGTTCCAGATTTTAGCAGCATGAATCTGAAAAGCAGCCTCCCCATGTTTAGTTCTGACTCTGGGCACTAACAGGAGTCCAGTCCCTGTGCTCCTCAGAGTCCGGGCTGGTTCATATGGGACTAACATGTCACTAATATATTTTGGTGCGAGGCCATGGAGAGACTTGTACACAAGCAGAGCTGTTTTAAAGTCATTCTCTGAGCCACAGGAAGCCAGTGCAGAGACCTGAGGACTGGACTAATGTGGTCGTACTTCCTGGTTCTTGTCAGGACTCGAGCTGCTGCATTTTGAATGTACTGCAGCTGTTTTACAGCCTGTTTGGACAGACCTGTGAGCAGGCCATTGCAGTAGTCTAACCTACTGGAGACAAATGCATGGATAAGAATCTCCAAGTCTGCTTTAGACACTATGTTTTTGATCCTGGCAATGTTTTTTAGATGGTAAAAAGCTGCTGATGTTACTGATTTGATGTGGCTATTAAAATTTAAGTCTGAGTCCAGTATTACCCCTAGATTTCTGACCTTGTTTGAAGGTTTTAGGGAGAGAGACTGTAGGTGACAGATGACGCTCTCTCTTTGTTTCTGGGGACCAAAGACAATCATTTCAGTTTTGTCTGTGTTTAGCTGAAGGAAGTTGTTTTGCATCCACTCACTGATCTGTTGGATACAGTGAAGGAGTGAGTCCACTGGTCCATGTTCTCCTGCAGTCAGTGAGACATAGATCTGAGTGTCGTCTGCATAGTTATGATAGGAAACTTCGTTTCTGCGTATTAACTGACCTAACGGCAGCATGTAGAGATTGAACAGAAGAGGTCCCAGGATCGACCCCTGTGGTACTCCACAGGTCAGGGCCATATGATCTGAGACACAGTTTCCAATCTCCACAAAGTACTTCCTGTCCTCAAGGTAAGACCTAAACCAACTTAGGGCGGTGCCAGCGACTCCAACCCAGTCCTCTAGTCTCTGTAAGAGGATCTCATGGTCGACGGTGTCAAAGGCAGCACTTAGATCTAACAAGATTAAGATTGAGACTTTGCCTGCGTCAGTGTTCAGCCGGATATCGTTTGTAACCTTGACGAGAGCAGTCTCAGTGCTGTGGTGGGGTCTAAAGCCGGACTGAAACATATCAAATGAGTTGTTGATTATAAGAAATCTAGTAAGCTGTAGGTAGACAACTTTTTCAAGGACTTTCCCCATAAATGGCAGATTTGAGATGGGACGATAGTTGTTAAGTACCGTAGCATCGAGACTGCTCTTTTTTAGCAGGGGCCTGATGACTGCAGTTTTCAGGGCCTTTGGGAATATTCCAGAATGAAGGGACATGTTTACTATCTGTGTGAGTGAGGGTAACAGACTGCTCAGAACAGACTTCAGAAATCTAGTGGGTAGTACATCCAAGCTGCATGTGGAGGAGCTCAAACTGGAGATTATCTCTTGGACAGTTTTATCATTTACAGGTGCAAAGTGAGTTAGCTCAGAGAGCCTTTCTGGCTGTTGGATGGTTATCTGTGGATTGGAGACAATGGCGTTTTTGATGCCTTGAACCTTGTCATTGAAAAAATTTGCAAACTCATTGCATTTACGTTTGGAAGTAAAGCTCTAATGGCATTTGAACAGGGGGGTTTGTTAATCTATTAACTGTTGAAAACAGAACACGCAGATTGTTGCTGCAGCCTTCAATCATTTCAGAAAAATACCTTTCTCTCGTACTACGTAGCACCCGGTTAAACTCGCACAACTTATCTTTGAAGATCTCGTAATCAACCTGGAGGTTGGACTTGCGCCACTTCCGCTCGGCCCTCCGGCACTTTCTCTTTTGTGCCCTGACCGAGTCTGCTTTAGCCCACGGCGCCTTCTGCTTATTTTTCACTATTTTAACCTTCACAGGGGCAACGGTATCCAGAACATTCAAAACACTAGAGGTGACAGAGTTAAACAGTTCATCTACAGTAGAATACGATGCATTCTCAAAGTTTATCATTCCCATAAATAGTTCACTCGTATTTTCATTTATGTGTCTTCTTCGTACAGTTGCAGAGTCCACTGGTGGTTTGTTAGTGAAACACATGTCAAAAAAAACATACTACTGTACATGTTAGCAGCAAGTGATACTACTGTACATGTTAGCAGCAAGTGATACTACTGTACATTTTAGCAGCAAGTGATACTACTGTACATGTTAGAAGCATGTGATACTACTGTACATGTTAGCAGCATGTGATACTACTGCACATGTTAGCAGCAAGTGATACTACTGCACATGGTAGCAGCAAGTGATACTACTGCACATGTTAGAAGCATGTGATACTACTGCACATGTTAGAAGCATGTGATACTACTGCACATGTTAGCAGCATGTGATACTACTGTACATGTTGTAACTACTGCACATGTTAGCAGCAAGTGATCCTACTGCACATGTTAGAAGCATGTGATACTACTGTACATGTTAGCAGCAAGTGATACTACTGCACATATTAGCAGCAAGTGATACTACTGCACATATTAGAAGCATGTGATACTACTGCACATGTTAGCAGCAAGTGATACTACTGCACATGTTAGCAGCAAGTGATACTACTGCAAATGTTAGAAGCATGTGATACTACTGCACATGTTAGCAGCATGTGATACTACTGTACATGCTAGAAGCATGTGATACTACTGTACATGTTAGAAGCATGTGATACTACTGTACATGTTAGCAGCAAGTGATACTACTGCACATGTTAGCAGCATGTGATACTACTGCACATGTTAGCAGCAAGTGATACTACTACGCACATGTAAGATGCATGTGATACTACTGTACATGTTAGAAGCATGTGATACTACTGCACATGTTAGCAGCAAGTGATATTATTGCACATGTTAGCAGCAAGTGATACTACTGTACATGTTAGAAGCATGTGATACTACTGCACATGTTAGCAGCAAGTGATACTACTGTACATGTTAGAAGCATGTGATACTACTGTACATGTTAGAAGCATGTGATACTACTGTACATGTTAGAAGCATGTGATACTACTGTACATGTTAGCAGCAAGTGATACTACTGTACATGTTAGAAGCATGTGATACTACTGTACATGTTGGCAGCAAGTGATACTACTGCACATGTTAGCAGCAAGTGATACTACTGTACATGTTAGCAGCAAGTGATACTACTGCACATGTTAGCAGCATGTGATACTACTGCACATGTTAGCAGCATGTGATACTACTGCACATGTTAGAAGCATGTGATACTACTGTACATGTTAGCAGCATGTGATACTACTGTACATGTTAGCAGCATATGATACTACTGTACATGTTAGCAGCAAGTGATACTACTGCACATGTTAGAAGCATGTGATACTACTGTACATGTTAGCAGCATATGATACTACTGTACATGTTTGCAGCAAGTGATACTACTGCACATGTTAGCAGCAAGTGATACTACTGTACATGTTAGAAGCATGTGATACTACTGTACATGTAAGAAGCATGTGATACTACTGTACATGTTAGCAGCAAGTGATACTACTGTACATGTTAGAAGCATGTGATATTACTGCACATGTTAGCAGCAAGTGATTCTACTGTACATGTTAGAAGCATGTGATACTACTGCACATGTTAGCAGCAAGTGATACTACTGCACATGTTAGCAGCAAGTGATACTACTGCACATGTTAGCAGCAAGTGATTCTACTGTACATGTTAGAAGCATGTGATACTACTGTACATGTTAGCAGCATGTGATACTACTGTACATGTTAGCAGCAAGTGATACTACTGTACATGTTAGAAGCATGTGATATTACTGCACATGTTAGCAGCAAGTGATTCTACTGTACATGTTAGAAGCATGTGATACTACTGCACATGTTAGCAGCAAGTGATACTACTGCACATGTTAGCAGCAAGTGATACTACTGCACATGTTAGCAGCATGTGATACTACTGCACATGTTAGCAGCATGTGATACTACTGTACATGTTAGCAGCATGTGATACTACTGCACATGTTAGCAGCAAGTGATACTACTGTACATGTTAGAAGCATGTGATACTACTGTACATGTTAGAAGCATGTGATACTACTGTACATGTTAGAAGCATGTGATACTACTGTACATGTTAGCAGCAAGTGATACTACTGTACATGTTAGCAGCAAGTGATACTACTGTACATGTTAGCAGCATGTGATACTACTGCACATGTTAGAAGCATGTGATACTACTGTACATGTTAGCAGCATGTGATACTACTGTACATGTTAGCAGCATATGATACTACTGTACATGTTAGCAGCAAGTGATACTACTGCACATGTTAGAAGCATGTGATACTACTGTACATGTTAGCAGCATATGATACTACTGTACATGTTTGCAGCAAGTGATACTACTGTACATGTTAGCAGCAAGTGATACTACTGTACATGTTAGAAGCATGTGATACTACTGTACATGTTAGAAGCATGTGATACTACTGTACATGTTAGCAGCAAGTTATACTACTGTACATGTTAGAAGCATGTGATATTACTGCACATATTAGCAGCAAGTGATTCTACTGTACATGTTAGAAGCATGTGATACTACTGCACATGTTAGCAGCAAGTGATACTACTGCACATGTTAGCAGCAAGTGATACTACTGCACATGTTAGCAGCAAGTGATTCTACTGTACATGTTAGAAGCATGTGATACTACTGTACATGTTAGCAGCATGTGATACTACTGTACATGTTAGTAGCAAGTGATACTACTGTACATGTTAGAAGCATGTGATACTACTGTACATGTTAGAAGCATGTGATACTACTGTACATGTTAGCAGCAAGTGATACTACTGTACATGTTAGAAGCATGTGATATTACTGCACATGTTAGCAGCAAGTGATTCTACTGTACATGTTAGAAGCATGTGATACTACTGCACATGTTAGCAGCAAGTGATACTACTGCACATGTTAGCAGCAAGTGATTCTACTGTACATGTTAGAAGCATGTGATACTACTGCACATGTTAGCAGCATGTGATACTACTGTACATGTTAGTAGCAAGTGATACTACTGTACATGTTTGCAGCAAGTGATACTACTGTACATGTTAGCAGCATGTGATACTACTGTACATGTTAGCAGCAAGTGATACTATTGCACATGTTATCAGCATGTGATTCTACTGTACATGTTATCAGCATGTGATTCTACTGTACATGTTAGCAGCATGTGATACTACTGTACATGTTAGCAGCAAGTGATACTACTGTACATGTTAGCAGCAAGTGATACTATTGCACATGTTAGTAGCATGTGATTCTACTGTACATGTTATCAGCATGTGATTCTACTGTACATGTTATCAGCATGTGATTCTACTGTACATGTTAGTAGTATAAGGACCAGTCAAGTCACAGTGGACAAATTTGGTCCCATATTACACGATCTGACATTATTGCACAGATTCATAGCATGTTAGCTCAGCGATGTTCATTAGCCTTCATTGTTCATTGTACAGTTTGACAGCAGCAGGAAGGAAAGACCCACAGAACCTCTTTCATTAACATTTTCTAGAGTTCTAATAATGAGGTGTCTGGTCAGCTTCCATGCAAAAAATTCTATTGTTTTGACAATCAGAATATATTCACTACTAGAAAATAACACTTGCATTTTCTTTATTGAAGCAATTATTTGTATTGTGAAAAGACCGTGTTTTGTTCTGTTCAGATCATCTCCCAGACCATGATTTTCATGACTGGTTTTGTAAGTATAGTATTCTCTGGCCATCTGGGGAAAACAGAACTTGCAAGTGTGGCCTTGTCAATTGCGGTAAATATATAAATATATATATATTTTTTAAAGAAAGTACTGGACATTTACATTTTTTTGTGTGATTTTCTTTGCAGGTCATCAACGTCACAGGCATTTCAATTGGTACAGGTTTATCTTTAACCTGCGACACTCTAATATCACAAGTAAAGCAGCGCTAGGAGCTCTCTACGGCTCTGACTACCACTATCTAACCCTAAGTTTATTTAGGAGTTTTAATCGGTTTTCCTTTTGCTGTTTAGACTTATGGGAGTGGTAACATGAAGAGAGTCGGAGTGATTCTACAGAGGGGGGTTCTGATCCTGTTACTGGCCTGTTTTCCCTGTTGGGCCATCCTGCTGAACACAGAAGTGCTGCTGCTCCTCGTCAAACAGAGCCCTGCTGTGGCCAGGTCTGTGAGTCACAATGTTTAAGTATTGTTAGTCAAGGCAAGCCTGATTTTTTTATTTTTTTTGTATGCACGTGCATGCACACTCTTCAGTGTTAGAAGCTTGTCTGCTAGTTCAGATTAGCTGTGGGTCTTTCCCGGATTCCAGGAAGAAGAGGCCTTTATCAAACTTCTAACGCATGGAAATGGGTCTGTTTATGTCCTCACTAGGCCTGTCGCGATATTCAATAAATCAATTAATCGCATGATAATTCAAATTAACTTGATAATTTTTCTGGCCGTGATAAATTCCATTTGCATCCTTGTTTGTTTACCTCGTCTCTTTCTTCCTCTCTCTCTCTCAGGTCAGAGAGCCGCAAAGTGGTCACGGGGACATTAGCGGTCTAGCGAGCAGACTGAAAATACTCAAATGCAAAAGACAGCCAAAACAGGACCTAAACCAGGACTAAACCAGGATTGACACAATCCTGGTTTAGTCCTGGGGGACACAATACTTGTGAACATATGCCCCCCTGAGTTCTCATTCAGGCTCTAGTAGTGACTAAACTAGCACAGCTAGCGTGTTTGCCGATGCGGAAGTACCGTTTTGTAATATAATAAACTTATGGCGCACCTATGTGAACACATACTGCTGTTATATAAAGTCTCTGGAAGGTCTCTGGACAAAGAGACGCTGCAGCCGCATTCTTGGAGAAGAACTTTACATAAAAAGCCGCTAGCTTAACTCCGTTAGCGAAAAAGCCCGCCCGCTACTTCCGCCAGTGGTCTTTAAAAATAAATGTTTATTTCTCTTTGAAACGGTGTACCTGCATCATTATCATTGTATTAGGTGAAAATGACGATTAATTGTCCAGCAAAATTTGTTATCGTGACAGGCCTAGTCCTCACACAGGAGTGTGTCCTCACACAGGAGTTTGTCCTCACACAGGAGTTTGTCCTCACACAGGAGTGTGTCCTCACACAGGAGTGTGTCCTCACACAGGAGTGTGTCCTCACACAGGAGTGTGTCCTCACACAGGAGTGTGTCCTCACACAGGAGTGTGTCCTCACACAGGAGTTTGTCCTTACACAGGAGTGTGTCCTCACACAGGAGTGTGTCCTCACACAGGAGTGTGTCCTCACACAGGAGTGTGTCCTCACACAGGAGTGTGTCCTCACACAGGAGTGTGTCCTCACACAGGAGTGTGTCCTCACACAGGAGTGTGTCCTCACACAGGAGTGTGTCCTCACACAGGAGTGTGTCCTCACACAGGTGTGTCCTCACACAGGAGTGTGTCCTCACACAGGAGTGTGTCCTCACACAGGAGTGTGTCCTCACACAGGAGTGTGTCCTCACACAGGAGTGTGTCCTCACACAGGAGTGTGTCCTCACACAGGAGTGTGTCCTCACACAGGAGTTTATGTCCTCACACAGGAGTTTATGTCCTCACACAGGAGTTTATGTCCTCACACAGGAGTTTGTCCTCACACAGGAGTTTGTCCTCACACAGGAGTGTGTCCTCACACAGGAGTTTATGTCCTCAAACATTAGTCCATCCATTTTCTTCCGCCTTATCCGTTGCCGGGTCGCGGGGGCAGCAGTCTAAGCAGAGACGCCCAGACTTCCCTATCCACACACACTTCCTCCAGCGCGTCTGGGGGGACCCCAAGGTGTTTCCAGGCCAGCTGAGAGACATAGTCCCTCCAGCGTGTCCTGGGTCTTCCCCGGGGCCTCCTCCCGACACAGCTCAGCGAACGCGCAGCCGTAACGTGGTCATGTACCGCGGACCATAGACGCGCGGACAGAATCATACACGCGCGATCAGGACATTCCCCAGCTTGTTGCACGTGCGGGTCTTGCATGTCTCCCCTGTCTCCCCTGTCTCTCTCCCATGTCTCGCCCACGTCTCCCCCAAGTCTCCTCACGAAGCACAGCCAAAACTCACTGAATTAAAGCTCACCAAAATTTTCGCTTGCATTGACAATGCATGTTATTTGAGCACAAAAGTAAAATGTTGTGAAAAAATCAAACAAAACAAACCTCAACAGTCGTGTTTTTTTTTATTTTGCTTACTGTGAGCCCTGTGAGTCATTATTTGACTTTTTTGGGCTGAGAGTGGATTTTCTAAATATTTTATTCCCATACGGTTAGTGCCACTTTATTGCCAAACTCTTTTTGACACATTGTGTTGAGAAACATGTGTTAGTCTCACATTATCTTTGGTTGTTTTATTACCTTTCCTATGTGGAAGTAGTATATTTTTTGTATTATTCTACTGAAGGTTTATAATAATACACTGCATTCTTATTGAAAGCCACAAGTGTCAGCTCTCAAATTCTTTTGAAATTATGTTTCTATCTGCTACAGAGGCCAAGATATCAATCATTTAGTAGACGTTGAATTTCAGGAAAACTTAAGACTAGCATACATCGACTGAGAAACTGGGGACAACTAGTTGCAAGGCGGCTTTTGGCAACTGAGAGTAGATGGTGGGAGATGATCAGTTGCCGAAATCGGTTGATGTGCGCGCTCTTACAACTGGAGATGATCAGTCGGTCTCCAGTTTCAGTCAGTTGCCCGTGTTCTACTTTTCGGCAACTAGTTGTCCTCAGTTTCGGAGATATGACCCGATGTGCGCGCTCCATGCGCTGCTCCGACAACTTGTGTGTATTGCGTGTATACAATACACGCAACAGTTTATGTCAGAAAACACACTGCAGTTGAGGCCAGTTGTTGTCGATGTACGCGCTGTTATTCGCGAGACTGGCCTGCTACTGGGAGTTGCCCGTTTTCGTCAGATTGTCTGTGTGCGGGGCAGCAACTCGTATGCGACGGATATAATCAGTTGCCAGTCCGATGTACGCTAAGCTTTAGGTTTTACAGGTCTGTTTTATCAGGTGTGTCAGGCCTTAATGGGTTAAGGTGGCAGTCCAGGGGGAGGCATACATACAGTGGGGCAAAAAAGTATTTAGTCAGCCACCGATTGTGCAAGTTCTCTCACTTAAAATAATGAGAGGTCTGTAATTTTCATCATAGGTACACTTCAACTGTGAGAAACAGAATGTGAAAAAAAAAATCCAGGAATTCACATTGTAGGATTTTTAAAGAATTTATTTGTAAATCATGGTGGAAAATAAGTATTTGGTCAATAACCAAAATTCAACTCAATACTTTGTTATTGCCAACAAAGGTTATATTACAGTGGTCAAACGATTACTACAGGTCTTTACCAGGTTTGTGCACACAGTAGATGGTATTTTGGCCCATTCCTTCATGCAGATCTTCAAGAGCAGTGATGTTTCGGGGCTGTCGCCGAGCAACTCCCTCCACAGATGTTCAATAGGGTTGAGGTCTTGGGACTGGCTAGGCCACTCCAGGACTTTCAAATGCTTCTTACGGAGCCACTCCTTCGTTGCCCGGGCGGTGTGTTTGGGATCATTGTCATGCTGGAAGACCCAGCCACGTTTCATCTTCAAAGCTCTCACTGATGGAAGGAGGTTTTGGCTCAAAATCTCACGATACATGGCCCCATTCATTCTTTCCTTAACACGGATCAGTCGTTCTGTCCCCTTAGCAGAAAAACAGCCCCAAAGCATGACGTTTCCACCCCCATGCTTCACACTAGGTATGGTGTTCTTGGGATGCAACTCAGTATCCAAACACGACGAGTTGAGTTTATACCAAACAGTTCTACTTTGGTTTCATCTGACCACATGACATTCTCCCAATCCTCTGTTGTATCATCCATGTGCTCTCTGGCAAACTTCAGACGGGCCTGGACATGCACTGGCTTCAGCAGGGGGACACGTCTGGCACTGCATGATTTGATTCCCTGTCGTCGTAGTGTGTTACTGATGGTAACCTTTGTTACTTTGGTCCCAGCTCTTTGCAGGTCATTCACCAGGTCCCCCCGTGTGGTTCTGGGATTTTTGATCACCGTTCTCATGATCATTTTGACCCCACGGGATGAGATCTTGCGATCGAGGGAGATAATCAGTGGTCTTGTATGTCTTCCATTTTCTGATAATTGCTCCCACAGTTGATTTGTTCACACCAAGCTGCTTGCCTATTGTAGATTCACTCTTCCCAGTCTGGTGCAGGTCTACAATTCTTTTCCTGGTGTCCTTCAACAGCTCTTTGGTCTTGGTCATAGTGGAGTTTGGAGTCTGACTGTTTGAGGCTGTGGACAGGTGTCTTTTATTCAGATAAGGAGTTCAAACAGGTGCCATTAATACAGGTAACGAGTGGAGGACAGAAGAGCTTCTTAAAGAAGAAGTTACAGGTCTGTGAGAGCCAGAGATCTTCCCTGTTTGAAGTGACCAAATACTTATTTTCCACTATAATTTACAAATATTCTAATGTGAATTCCTGGACTTTTTTTTCACATTCTGTCTCTCACCTCTGTCATTGTGGGAGAACTTGCACAATCGGTGGCTGACTTTTTTGCCCCACTGTACATAATGTAAAATATACAATTGAAGTTACAGTAGGTCCCATTTCGTTTTGTCGCCTTTCACGCGTGAATCACACGAGACTCACAAGTGATTCACGCGTCTTTTATTTATTTTTTCCCCAGTGATGCTGCAATGACCCAAACAACCACCAGGTGGCACTTGTGAGCAGGGTTAGGAAAATTGGCTTCTCATCGGTCTTTGTTCTCTGTTCACCGGACAACTTTCTGTGACGTTATAGCTCAATGATAAGGAGGTGGACTCTGGTGTGAGAGGGCTCGGGTTCAAGTACAGGCTATGACACTTTTGATTTTGTTGACGTTTACATGTTTTTTAAAACATACTTAGTAATTAGGCCAACACATTTAAAATAGTTGCTAGACTGTAGTAAACTTCACAATCTGCACCAACCAAACTGCAGGAAAAAAATGCAACTTTATTCAGTAACGGAGTAATCTGATACATATACTCCCCCCGCTAATAAAAAATTGAGGATTTGCCGGGGCTCGAACCCCGACCGTCCAAGCGAAAGTCTTGGACAATCCCGCTACACCACACAGGCGCTGCAGAAA